ACATATATATATATATATATATATATATATATATATATATATATATATATATATATATATATGTGTGTGTTTTGGAGCAGCAAATACTACCATTCAGACAATGTCTTTTTCAGTGAAGGCCTTGTGTATTTGTGCAAGACAATGCCAAACCACATTCTGAGCGTATTACAACAGCATGGCTCCAGAGTCCGAGTGCTAGACTGGCCTGCCTGCAGTCCAGACCTATCACCCAATGGAAAACATTTGCTGCATCATGTATATACAACAAAAATACAACAAATGAGAATCTGAACTGCTGAGCAGTTGAAATCCTGTATCAGGCAAGAATGGGACAACATTTCATTTTCAAAACTCAAAACTTTTCAGCAACTGGTCTCCTCAGTTCCCAAACACTTACAGAGTGTTGTTAAAGGAAGAGGTGATGCAACAGGCCCCTGTCCTAACTTTTTGAAAGTGTTGCTGGCATTGAATTCAAATTTATATATTTATCATAAAACAATGATATTTCTCAGTTTCAACGTTTGATAAGAAATTAGAAATTAAAGGAATGTTACACTTATGGATTTTATGTTCCGCTAAGACTAAAAAAGTTTGTGATGTATAAGGAAACATCTTTGAACTTTCAGTTCACCCATCGATCTATCCATCCATCCCCTATACCACTTAACCAGGGTCTCAGTCCATTCACAAGTGCAGCTGTCAAATTTCCATGTCCATTACGTCTTTAATAAAAGCGCTGGTCATGGTTTCAGACAGTTGGCCCGTTGCGCTTTGTAAGACGCTGGGTGGTGTTCAGCAAGGCGCTGCAACAGGCCGGCAGAGAGCTCTGTGGGGCAGCCTTCCTCTACGCTCTCCTCCTGCTGCTGTTCACTCACGTCGGCTGCATGGTGAGAGGCAGATCAGAAAATTTACTCACGTTTGAAAACGATTTTTACTTTTCTTTCATTTTAACATAGTATATAGCATAGTATATTAAGAGACAGAATTTTTTTGTTTTGGTGTTCAACATTAAATGAAAGAGGAGGTGTCTGTATTGCACGTCTTGTTTTGAATTCAAGCTTTATAGATGTACTGGTGAAGTCAACACATGGAAGAAAATGAGCTAATCAGCTAAAATAAATGCCTTACGGAAGGTTGTGTTTGGCCTTAGCTGTTCTCCCACTCAGTAGAGGGCTTCAGGACAACGGGGCAGGCGATCCTCACCCTGGTATCAGCACTGCGTGGACGTGCTGTTGTCAGGAGGCTGTGCCAGCAGCACCCAGTGCTGGGGACACTCTACTGCCTGGCTCTGCTGGGCACAGGCCTGTGGGCTCTGGGCCGGTTCTGCGGCATCCTGCTACTGCGCTCCTACAGGATCGTGCAGACTGAGCTGTACCGGCCCGCCTTCGAGCCTCAGGATTACGAAATGGTGGAGTTCTTCATCAAGAGGCTCAAGCTCTGGATAGGTCTCAGTAAATCTAAGGAGGTACTTCACTCACCTAATGCAATTCCTGCATATGCTAGTAT